TTTCCAGCTCTCTTCCCGCACGGCAGCGCCAGCGCAATTCAACCTCCTCCAACATCGGGGATTTTGGTCGTCCGCTCGCGAGGCAGAGAGAAGAGAGTCGTTTGCTAGGGAGCAGCTGAGGTGCGTGGACCCTGCATGCAGAAGACCGCTCCTTCACGAAGGGCTCAGCCCAAGCCGGGCTCCTTCCACCTTCTGGACACATCGCAGTAGCATCGGCAAGCAAGCTCAAGATGCTCGCTACATCGAAATGAGTCGTACAGCCGCTACTTAGAAGCGCACGACATGCATTCTAATCCGCTACATCACAAGTCCTCCCTCCCTTACAATCCGTCGGACCGCGAGCGTCTGCAGGCACTTCGCTCCGGGAGCAAGAACCTCGTCTTCGACTCCACCACGCACAGCACTTGCGAGAGCGTCGCTGCAGCTGCACCGATCGCTAGTCCGAGCAAGCCGAGTTCCGGTGGTGACCCACTTCTCCGGCCCGAGGACGAGCTGAATCCCTGGTACACTACTCCTCATCTCCGCAACGGCGCAGAGTCTCGCAAGACCGAAGATCAGCGCGTAGAAGACGCTCACAAGGATTCCTCGCTCAAATCTTCGCACGACCCGCTCAAGGCAATGGCCGTCTTCCTGGCTCGACGCAAAGCTTCCAGGAACCTCTCAACGTCTCGCTCCGATCCCAAGGCGATTGCTTACTCTGCGACAGCGCCGTCCGATCTCTACGAGCCAGACGCCTTGCGAGCTACGAAGCTCCATCGAAAGCAGCCTTTGCATCCCCGCAGCCATCGAAGCAGAGGCAACAACAACTCTGTAAGCTCTGGTCAGCCTCACCATGCAAGTCGACGTCGAAGCGCGCACCGACGCTCCGAGTCGCATCGACCGAGATGACGCACCAAGCCAAAAGGTCACTGGCTATCGACCTGGCTCGCGCTCTTCAATGTACCAGGAGCTTTTTCAGAATATGGTCTGCTCGGTCCTCGAGTCCGAGTCCTACCTCTTCTCCAACGCTGAGCTCGACATTCTTTCGGCGTACTTCATGCTTTCCTATCCTGCCCGCTACCTCTTCGTCCGGCTTCTCCAACGCAAAAAGGACACATGGTACCGTCTCGATCGCCTCGACTCTTACCGAGCCGAGGTGGGTGATCTTGAGGCGGCGACCCGGGAGCTGGCTTGCAAGATAGCCTCGCCGCCCTCCAATGGCCCAAAAGTAGAGCCCGCCAGGCTCGAAGAGCAGACCCGCCGCGCAACGGCTCTGGAGGACGACAAGGAGAATGCGACGCTCACATTACCCTCTCTTCAGCGAGAGCTCAAGCTGGACGAGCAGACAGGTCTTCCGCTCACCCCGACGTATCGACACAAAAAGCCGCTAGCACCGTCGGGCAGTTCGAAGCAGGCATCACAGTCCAGCGCCAGTCTGAAACAGCCGGGCTCGGACGATCCGCCTCTGGACCGCTTTGTCCTCACCGACCGAGATATGAAGGGCGGCATTGCCGAATCGCTCTCGCTCCTCAACATGGACGAGCTCAAAGCCATTGCCAAGAACATGGGCGTCACCAAGCTCGGCACCACACGCGCGCAGATCGTCGCCGCACTTTCGGCAACGCGGTCACAATCCACGCTCACGAGGAGCCCGACGAAACAGAGCAGCCGCTCCACTCCAGCTTCCTCCAACGGCAGCTCGACGCAGCTCACGCTCAACTTTGGCGGCGCCAAGGCAGGGCCCGCGCAAGCATCGCGGCTCAAGGACGAGCTGTCTGCCGCGCTGGGAGGCGGCTGCATCCAGGTGCTTCCCGCGCTGCGTTCTCTCGTCGACCGCGTCGCGCTCGTGTACTACCGCGGCAACCTGCTCGGCAGTGCTGCGCTCACCACCGCCATCCTCTCGCGCTCGCGCATCCGCAACTACCCCGCCTACACGCACCGACGCACGGGCTTTCTCTTCCCCTCGCGCGACCATCTGGTCGCCTTTGAGCGGGCGCTCGCCATCGAGGCCGAGATGGAGCACCTCATGCAGTTCGGCAAGACTGAAGACGACTTTCGCGCCGCGCTCGCGCTGTTCGAGTCGGTGTGGGCCGAGTGGAAGTCCTGTGTGCAGGAGTGCATCGCTGCGCATCCCGAGGGCATCGACAAGATGGTGTACCACCGCATGCGCTTCCATCCGGGCTGGGTGCTCACCCGCGTCGTCTACAAGGGTGCCGTCGTGCTCGCGCGCTTCA